TAAGTCGTTATAACGAGAAAACAACTCTCGTTATGTCGATATAACGAGAAAATTAAGTCGTTATAACGAGAAAACAACTCTCGTTATGTCGATATAACGAGAAAATAAGTCGTTATAACGAGAAAACAAGAAGGAAAAAAAATAATGCATGGCCGCTTAGAACTTCCGTAGTAAAAACAATAAAATTATTCAATTTTATCACAATTGAAAATGCTATTTTTTTTATTTACATATATTCTTAAAAATAAAAGTTGATTATTTTTTTATAATTATTTTTTTCTCCAGTCTTCAGTGTCACACGAATCATGATCCTTTAGAAATCAGAAGCATCTGAGATGAAGATGATACTTGAATGAACATCGTCCTCTGGGCAGTTTGCACACGTTTTTCTGATGTCAGTAAGGAAAGTGTTGAAAATTGGCATGACGTGTAGCCATGTATGGTGTCCCATACTCGGAATTTGGCCCGTTCTTCATACGCCGCTAACTCAGTTAGCTGGATTTGATTGTTGATGATTTGGCATGATCTTGGATTGTTTGGTTCTTCGAAGCTCATCCCAGAGTTGCTGTCATAGCAACAGGTCCATAAACTTAAACCTGCTCAGGAGCAGCCTTATTTCATGTAAACAGGATTAGATGGCATCTTTTTAAGCAGAATTGATACTTAAAATCTTTCTGCTACCTACTTTATTACAAGAGTACACTACTAATCCAGGGACAATAATGTAAAATAATAATCATTTAAATGTTGTGTAGTCTTTAATACTATAGCCAGTTTTACTCACTGAAAGATTTATTTGTCATAAAATTATTACTTCATAATTGTATTTGAGTCTTACACACATGCTATACAGTTAATGTAGAGACGTGCATTAATTTGAGTGTTGACAGATATTATGGGAGTGGCTTGGTGGAGCGCAGGAGATGCAGATAACATGATCTTGACCCTTAAAGGGGTCATATGATGCGATTTCAGGTTTTCCTTTCTCTTTGGAGTGTTACAAGCTGATTGTGCATAGATAAGATCCCTGAAGTTGCAAAGACTAAAG